CCCTCTGCCCGCTGGAGGCGCTGCTCCCGGAACACGGGGGCGTGTAGGGTGGGCCCCTCGGTCCCGGGAACGACATGGGAACCGTGTGTGTCGTGTCGTAGGCGCGGTAGCTTCGCCCCAGGCGGGGCCTCGCGGGGCCACGTGATCCCACGCGGCGGAATGCAGGGTGGATTCGGAGGCCAGAACCGGGGGAGCCGCCCCAACGACACCCGCTTCACTCGCCGCTACTAAGCGCTTGGATTCCTGTGTTCTGTCACGTGGCGACAAGAGTATGTTCTGTTAGGAGTTTCTCTTAAACTGTGTACAATAATTTTTTTTATCTGCTGCCATATTGTAGCTCAATACAATGTGAATGTTTTTTTGTGTTTTGGTTTTTTTTTTTTTGGTTTTTGTTTTTTTGTAATAAATGTGTTTCTGTTCACATACCCTTTATTTAAAGCGTCGTCTCTCTTCATTTCACGTATTTTTGTAAGTTGAATCATACTCGGCATTGCTTACTTAGTCATGGTTCTTCCTTCGGGGAAGGAGGGAGGAGGACGGACGGGGGCAGCTTTAAAGGGACCGTTAAGGTTTCCGGAAGCAGTCTGCTGGTGGCGCTCACCTGCCGCCTGCTGAGCCTGGGCCGTTTTGTCCCTCTTCCTCCGGGGCCTCTGATTTACGCCAGAGCTTTCTGTCCCCCGCACCCTGCTTCCCACCCCTGGCTCAACAGGCCGCTGTGCTTTTTTAATCGGGTGAAAGACACATCATGTGAAATTTACCATTTTAACCATTTTTAGGTAGACAGGCCCGTGGCAGTAGCGTAGGCACACCGTTGTGCCACCACCACTGACCTCCATCCACAGAACCTTCTGTCTTCCCAAACACAAACCCTTCTACGCTGCTCCCCAGCACCCACCTTCTACTTCCTGTCTCTGTGGCTTTGACCCCCTAGGATCTCCTGAGTGGAACTGCATCCGGGGGGGGGGGGGGGGGGGGGAGCGAGAACACAGTGTGGTGCCGAGGTGTGCACCTGGGACCGTGCTGCCTCCTCATGTGGTCCACAGGCTCCCTTGCTGTGGCTCCCAGGTCTTGCAGGGGGAGGGGAGGGCGGGGGAGGTGTGGAGGGAGGTCCAGCTCACCTGCGTAGGACACCGGTAGCCGGTAGCGCAAGGGAGGCCTGCTGCTGCTTGGTCTGTGGGAACCAACCAAGGCTGGTTGCCCCTCTGGGCTCCCGTCTTTGACATGTCCAAGTAGGGTCTGGGCCTGTTTCGGGCCTGGGGATGCCCAACCATTGGGGCAGCCTGGGCTCCTGTCCCCCCACAACCCACAGCTAGGGGGAGACAGACAGGAGATCAAGCCCTCAGATGTGGGGGGCCAGACAAGCCCCCTCTCCGGAGGGGCTGCAGACGACCCCACGCCAATCGCTGGAACCTGGACATAACAGCACCTAACGTGGCCAAGGGGCTTTGCAGATGAGATTCAGTTCAGGACCCGGAGACGGAAGATTCCCTGGGGTTACCCGGGTGGGCCCAGTGCCACCACCAGGGTCCTCACGGGGGAGCGGGGAGGCGGGGGAGCCAGAGACCGGCAGACTACACGGCCGGCTTTGGAGACGAAGCAGCCCTCATCCCAAGGAGTGCAGTGGCCTCTAGAAGCCGAAAAGGCAGGAAATGGATTACTCCCCCTGGAGCGCCCAGAAGGAGCCAGCCCCGTCCACACCTGCATCGTAGCCCAGCGAGACTCGTGTTGATCTGTGGTGCGGTCAACATGGGTTGCATCAAGCCCCTCAGTCTGGTCGCTGGTCACAGTGGACATGTGACTGCTACAAACTCCCGAGGCGTGGTGGTTAGCTGGGATGACCGTCCCCAGTGGGCAGACACCCGGCAGCACCTGGAGACGCCTGTGGCTGTCGGGACTGAGGAGACAGGGTCTGCGGGTATTTGGGGGGGGGGGGGGTGCTGCTCGACACCTATGGTGCCCAGGCTGGTCCCAAGCACATGAGATGCTGAGCTGGGGAGACGCGGCCCCGAGGCGGTAAGTGCCATGATGGGACACCCACAGGGCGGTCACGAGGCCCAGACTCAGCCCAGGGGTGGGAAGGAGGGATCAGGGCAGACTTCCCGGAGGAGGCAGAGGCCGAGCTGTATGTGGGCAGGATGAGTAGGAGTCCGGAGGAAGGGTGGCAGGAGGGCTGTGGTGAAAACCAGCTGTGTTGTAGCAAACGGCCCTTTGAGGAGTCTGGGCTCAAGGGGAGGGCAGCAGGGAGCCATAGAAGGTTTCTGAGTAGGGCAGTGACCCGATCTTGGGACATTGGGAAACAGATTGAAGGGGCAGGTGGGAAGACCAGGGAGGTGGTCTTGGCACTGGTGACAGATACAAGGGGACAGGAGTTTGGGTCTGGCTGCACGAGGGGATGGCGGAGTCACGAATGGCGCCCCAGTCTGCAGGCTGGTGGCTGGGTCCGTGTGAGCGGGGGGCCAGCGGCCGGCTGACCCCTGGCCCAGGCTGTGGGTGCACACCGGAGCTTGTTTCGGGGGACGCCCCCCCATCGTGCCCCGGAACACAAGAGCCATCCAGGCAAGCAGGGAAAGCTGGCGGGGGGCCAACAGGGTAGACGGAAACCTCAGGCTTGGGCAACCTTGTGGGCCATCCCCCCAGGGCTGCTGGGAGCCTGGGGGGCCTCGAGCAGCCGGAGCGGCGCCCTGGGGGGATCGGGTCTCCTCCGTCAGATGACCCAGCCCCGCTTGCTCTGCGCTCTCTTGACAGGTGCATCCGCCTCAGCCCGTTTCCTCAGCTGCCCTGGGCCCGGCTGTGCGCAGCCGTGGGGGTGACCGGGTGCTTCCTCAAGCCCTTCCTGCCCACCCAGGCGGCCCCAGGCCACCTCCGCCTTTTCGGAGCCCCCGCTTCACGGCCCCCTCCCCACCTGACACAGGTGCGTCCCGCAGGGACGGCAGTCGCTCCCGTGACCAGCCCTACTGATGCCAGCCGGCAGAGACGCTGCCCAAAGCCCAGAACTCGACGGACCTGCGGGACTCAGCTGCCTGGATGGAGGTGAGGGGCCCCGGAAGGGCCGAGCACGTTCCCAGGGTGGCTCATTAACGACCTGCCTCCAAAGGCTGGTTTCCCTTCCTATGTGCTCCGCTAGGAGTTATTCAAGAGCACGGCAGGGTGGCCCTGGCAGGCCTCTCTCCCTCCAGGTCTGCCTCTCCTTGGGAAATGGTGGTGATGGTAACGGGAGGGTCGTGAGGACGCAAGGAGCCTTACGTGACGCGTGCTACAGCCCCAGCTTCGCGTGCCCTGAGCACAAACCCTCCAGTTTTCAAAGGCCATTTTTTTTTTTTTTAAGTTTATTTTGAGAGAGTAGGGGAGGGGCAGAGACAGAGAGACGGAGAGACAAAGAGAGAGAGTGAGCATCCCAAGCAGGCTCCACTCTGTCAGCGCAGAGCCCGACGTGGGGCTTGAACTCACGAACCACGAAATCGTGACCTGAGCTGAAATCAAGAGTTGGACGCTTAACCGACGGCGTCACCCGGGCGCCCCACAAACCCTCCAGTTTTCAAAGGCCCAGGATTGGGTCATGGGAGTGAGGCAACTGGAAATCCTGTGCCCAGGGGAGGGCGTAAGCTAACCACCTACTACCTGGGCTCCAGGCGGAAGGAGCAGGGCTTGGACCCGGCCACGCACGCGGGTTTCTCCATCTGTACGATGGGCCCCCCCATCTGCTTCCTTCCCTGTAGAAGGGCTCCGTGGATGGGGGGGGTCAGGCTAGGGTGCGTTACCGGGCTTACCTCTGAACCTGGGCTTGCTCCCTCCTGGGAGGTCCCAAGGATCAGGGATGTTCCCCGGCCCCACTCGTCCTGCCCTTGCCCTAGACTTGCTCCTACCCCTGCCATGGCCCAGGCAGGATGGGAGGGGCCCACTGGCCACGGGGGGCCCACCTACACTGTCCCTGGAAAGCAGAGTGGCAGGTCACTTTGGGCTCTCCCTCCCCAAACGCAGCAGGCCAGGCCACCCATCCCCTACCACACTCCTCCCCACACCTCCCGTGGACCTGCGCCAGCTTCTCATCCCCGAAGGGCCTGCAAAACGTCGTGGCTTCTGGTCTCTGCTTTCCTCACGCGTAACCGCCGTCCTCTCCTTGCTCATGGGCCTAGGGGAGCCCGACCACTAGACCAAGCAACAGAACTCCCACAACTCTCAGGCACGGGGGATCCCATCCCAGCTCAGGGCACCATTACCCAGGCCTGGTCTCCGCTCCTGGAGCAGCAGCCCGGGCCAGTCTCTGCCTCCCACCCAAGCCCACGGCCTATTGCCCGTCTGGGGCACAGGTTTCCTCCTGCTGCCATCATGGTGGGATGCCCTCGGGGCTGGGAGTATTTTCAGGGTCCGCCCTCTTGTCCCGCCGGGTGGGGAAGAACACTCAGGTCACCAGGCAGCTGATCCAGGGCAGAAAGGCTTCCCAGGGGAGCAGGGGACGCTGGGAAGGCAGGACCTCTGTGGGCCGGGGAGCCCCCCTCCACTGCAATGACCGTGAAGCCTGCGGTCCCCAGGAATCCCCAGACCATGGGGGATTGAGGGTGGAAAGCAGGCAAGGGAGGGCCAGGACTAGACTAGACACGGGTGATCAGTGAGCTGAGCCAGTCAGAGATCGGGCGGCCACACGAGCTCCCGGCCACGGAGACAGATGAATTCTGCTCACTCTGCCGAGTCCCCACCTCCAGACCGCCCCACCAGGGGCTCAGCCCTCCGCAAACTGAGACCCCCAACCCGGGCGGGCCATCAGCACTTGCTCATTCCTGGGCCCGGAGCACTGCCTACGGAGCACCAGGGCCAAGCGTCGGCTCTCAACCCCCACACCAGGCTGGGGACTCAGCGGGCAGGGCGCAGACAGCAAAGGGGTGAACCAATGCCTGCGGTCAAAGTTAAGCTCTGACGAGCCGCTAGGCACCAGAAGCCCAGGTCCCTGCACTCTGGCACCAGCCGGGCCACCCCAAGCCCCTAGGGCAAGCACACGGGTCGGGAACACTTCCAAAGTCCTTTATTGGGCCAGCAAGGCCGGGAGCTGCCCTTGGCGTGGGGTCTCAGTCCCAGTCTGGAGTCTCCAGCTCTATGGCATCCCTGCCCCTGTTCCTGGCTGGGGCAGGTGGCCTCCTCTGACAGGCTACTTGATTCGCTCCTTCAGGTAGTCCCAGCCCTCCCTGGAGTACTCGCAAGCCTTGGAGGGGGCCGCCGACAGAGCCGACATCACCTTAATGATGCCTGTGGGGAGGGAGGGCCCAGTGCCTTCAGCCACAGGGCTCGGCCGCCGCTTCCCCGCTCCCCCCGGAAACCCTAGCTCCGCAAGGCTTTGAGAGGCCCCAGTTCCAGCCTGGTCAGTTCCGCACGGGGAAACTGGGGCAGAGATGGGGCAGGGCCTCGCCTTGTCTGAAGTCACACGGTGAGCTCCCAAGTGACCTGTCTTCAACGGAGGCTCTGTCTTGCTCCCACCCCCCTGAAATCTCCACCCCTTGTCCTCTCTTAGATCTGCAGGGGGTGCACAGAGCAGGAAGGAGAACGATGGAGAGGAATGGCCAGGAAATGGGGGCAGGGGGTGCTGACTGGGGTATCAGGGGCCGCCACCCCCAAGCCCAGGGACCGGGGCCTACCTGAATTCCAGGAGTCGCGGATGTGAAAGTTAAACTTTGGAGGGGCTGGGAGCTGGGAAGAGAGGGGAGAAGGGGCAGGTGAAAAGGGGAGGGCCCAGGAGCCCCAGCCCCCTCCGGAGGCAGCGGAAAGCAGCACAAAGCCCACTGCAGAGAACACCACGCAGGGCTGGAGGGACCAGGGACCAAAAGCCACCCCAGAACTGACACCACACCTCCCCCCCCACGGCCCCCACCCCCAAGCCTTAGCCTCACTCCCAGTCCCAGGGTACCTGGGGTATCTTCAGACCTGTCTGCTCACACACGTACTGGCTGAACTGGTACAGGGCTGGGGGGACTACCTCCTCTGCCTTCTGAAGGACAGCCTGGCTCTTGTCACTTGGCCCCAGCAGCTCCTGGTCATACACCAGGTAGACGGCACCCCCGGCCACACTGCCCTTGATGAGGAACCTGCAGGCAGAGAAGGGAAGGACAGCAGCTCAGTAGCTCATGGGACGCCAGTGGCCACCCTCGGGGCTCCAGGCCCACTGTGGGGAGGAGTTGGACTCCCGGGGCTGCCACAGTCCTCAGAGCGCCACACCTGAAGCCAGGCAGCGGAAGGCACTTTGGAAGCGCAGAGGCTTGCCTGACGCCTACTACGCCCATTGAGTGTTGTACTCAATTCACCCTGCAAAGCGGAGCTACTCGGCCCCGTTTACCTGGGAAACTAAGTCCCGGAGGGGGACCGTGGGTCACGCGTGATCCCGCACAGAGCAGGGAATAGTGAAGACTTAAGACCCCTGACTTCCTGTCTTCCAGCCCCGGGAGGCACGACCCGAGCGCGACCCTCGAGGGGCTTCCAAGGGACCCCGGTCATTTCTTGTATGTCATACGTCGCTCTGGGCACGAGTTAACTTCCTGAAACAGCGCGTGCGGCATTCCCACCTTACAGAGGAGGCAACTGAGGCTCCGAGGGGTCTCGGACACAGACAATCAGGAGGCAAGGGTTCGCTGGGACGCGGGAAGGAGGCGACAGGAGATCTCGGGAAGCCCCTCCCCGCCTGAACCTCAGTTTCCCCATCTGGGCGATGGGGGACCTGACACCACGGAATTCGAAGATCCAATCGGGAGCAAACCGGAGGGGGTGCCCACAGGCGGGGACTTTTTCGGGGGCTCCGAGCCCGCCCGGCGGCCCCACGCACCTCATCAGCGACCACACTCGGGGCACCATGGTCCCTCGGCTCCGCGCGCAAGGACACTCGACTCGCTCGCCGCTTCCGGTGGCGGCGCCGCAGAGGCCTCTGGGAAACGTAGTCACCCTAGTCGGCCGCAAAGGCCTCCGGGAGTCGAAGTCGCTCGAAGGCTCGGAGACTCCGGAGGGGGACGGCGGCCCTACAGCGAAACGATTCTGAGAAGTGTGATCTTCAGAGCCCGGGAGCCGCAAAGCTGCCTGGGAAATGGAGTCAGCAGGGCCCCGTGAAGCGCCGGACGGCTCGCCTGGCCGCAAAGACTCCTGGGAAATGTAGTCCCGCCTGGCACGGTCCCGGGGGCGTGAGGGGGAAACAGGTGTCCGGCGTCTAGAATGAGGCCGGAGCGTGACCCAAGAAGATGTCGGAGCCCGGGAGATCCACCCGCGCCCGCGCGGGGGCATAAGGGCCCAGGCCCAGGAAGAGTGTGCCAGTGAGATGGTCGTCACGGCAACGAGAGGTCGGAATTGTGTGAGGGAAGCTGGCCCTCGGCCACGTGATCTGGGTCGGGGGTGGGGCTTTCGTCCGGGGGCGGGACCAGAACCACGACTGGGAGGGGGCTAGCCTGGCCCTTGGCCGTTGCCCGGCAACGCCCGGGCGCTAAGTCTCCGGGTCCAGGCCCCTCCCTCTGAGGAGGTGGGCTCGGTGTCACGTGACTCGGGCCCTACGGGAGGGGGCGTGGTCGGGGGACCGGCCGGACGCGACCACTTAGGGAGGTCCGAGGGGCGCGCGCTTCGTTCCCTGGCCCGGACCCCAGCCCCTCTGCACCGCGGGGAGAAACTGAGGCCCGAGTGGGTAAGTGCGAGGTTGGGAGCGCGCAACACGGCCCACGTCCTTTTTGTCCAGAGGGGAAACTGAGGCCCAGGGAGGTCAGGGGACCAGTACGTTCTGCGATCGTCTGGTTCCCCCTATTCGTCCCCCATCGCAGGCCGACTGCTTCATCCATCCATCCATCCATCCATCCATCCACCCAGCCGGCCATTCATCCACCCGACCCCACCTCCCCCTGCGTGGCTGCTGTGGTCAGGGCCAGGGTCGGAAGAGGGTCAGGTTAAGGGCCAGGTTGAGGCGCTTCATAGCCTTTCCCTGGAAGTGAGGAGAGGTGGGGTGGCTGCCGCGACTGGGGAAGGGCGAGCGAGGAGTTCACTTTTCTGAGAACTGAGGGAGGTTCATAGACGGGAATGGTGGAAGAGGAGAATGGACAGGCGGGCCAGGGCCCGACCCGCTGGGCATTGTGGGCTGAGGTTACGATCTTGGTCTCTATGGGGTCAGTGGTGAGCCCTAGGAGGCTTTGGAGCAAGAAGCGGAACATCAGACTTCTTTGGACAAAGATCCCTTTGGCTGCCTGAAGGGGGCGGGGGGAGGGAGGGCGTATGAAGATGGGGGAGCCCGGGCGGGGGGCAGCTGCAACTTTGGGGTGGGGGCAAAGGACTGATGGCTGGATCTAGTGAAGATCTGAGGACACTCCAACCCCACCATTTCTCAGTTCTGGAAATCCCCTCTCTTGTCCTCCTGAGTTTGAAGGATTGAAACCCCAAGATGGGATGGACCTGTGCCTTTCCCTGGGGGGAAATGCATGACCCCCCCCCGCCCCCCCGCCAAACATTAAACACTTGGCCTGTTTCTCTTTCACCTTCCCCCTGGAACGAGTAAATTCACTCCCACAGCTGACGTCACATCTTAACCCTGATGGCATAGGTTCTTGCGTCTCCAACCCAGGCCTAAGACTCCTTCTAGCTCCCCCAGCTCCTACCCGCAATGTTCCTCCTGTCACTCAGTGTCCATCTGGTGCCTCTTGAGTACCTGCTGAGTGTCTGGCACAGTGTGGGGCATTGAGGACCCAAGAGTGAACAAAGCAGAAACAGGTTTCCGTTTCTTTCCTGCCTCATGGAGCACGACAGTCTCGGGGGAGATCAGTTTTGCTCTGACTTGAAAGAAGCGGGAGAGCAACTCGTTGGGTTATATTTGGGGAGAGCATTCGGGGCAGAGGGCACAGCCAGTGCAAAGGCCCTCAGGCAGGATGGAGACTGGCTGGTTCTGAGGAACAGTGAGGAGGCAGGTGTGGCAACCGGCCGCGTGAGCAAGAGGGGCTGGTCCTCTGACCCTCAAGGATATTGAGCAGGGCGAGGCAAGACGTGACTTGGCCGCTGGGGGGAGGGTGAAAGCCCAGAAGAGGCGAGGGGACTGGAGCAGGGCAGCTGTGTAGCCTGGTGACCTGGACAGGTGCGGCTGTCAGCCAGGCCTGTGCCCGCCACCCTCTCTCCCGCCGCAGCCCCTGCAGCCCCGGGGAGGGCCATGAAGGTACTGCTCTTCACCGGGCTGGGAGCCCTGTTCTTCTCGTATTACTGGGATGACAACTTTGACCCTGGTGAGTGCCTGGTGGGGGAGGGAGGAATCTGGCCAGCTGTCCGGTGCACCCCCAGGGTTGACCACCCCCCCCCCACACTGCCAGCCAGCCTCCAGGGAGCCCGCGTGCTGCTGACAGGGGCCAGTGCGGGCGTCGGGGAGGAACTGGCATATCACTACGCCCGCCTGGGCTCCCACCTGGTGCTCACTGCCCACACGGAGGCCCTCCTGCAGAAGGTGAGACATCCCGTTTCCCGTTTGATGGCCGGGTGCGCGTGGGTGGAAAGCGGGGCCCGGGCTTACTGAAATCCTTGCAACGGTCCAGGCTTCCCGTGTGACCTGAGGCCGGTTGTTTAACCGCTGTGCCTCAGTTTCCTCATTTGCAAACCGGAGACAATAAAAGTACCTTCTCGTGGGTTATGGTGTTGGGTTGGTACAGTGAAACAGCGGGGGTAAAACCGGGAGGGATCCTCAGTCAGTGGGCGGATGGGTAGTGTCCACAGCCCGCGCTGAGTATTGAGAATGAATGATGGCGGATGTTGAAGCTCGGAGTAGGGGAGGGGGCTTTAGGCCGGGGCCCCAGTGGCCTAGCAGGTGGCGGGGGGTGGGGGTGGGGGCCGGCTGGGGTGGACGGGCCCACGGGCAGCTCTGGCCCCCCCAGGTGGTAGGGAACTGCCGGAAGCTGGGCGCTCCCAAGGTCTTCTACATCGCTGCGGACATGGCCTCCCCTGAGGTGCCCGAGCGCGTGGTGCAGTTCGCGCTGGACAAGCTGGGTGAGGGGCGGGGCCTTCGGGGCAAGACCCGAATGGGGTGGGGCCGTGGTAGTCGGTGGGTGGAGGTTTACGGGGCCCGGGGCGTGGCCAGGGGCTGGAACTCTGGACCGGGCCTTATTGGATCAGGGACGAAGCCTGGAAGGATGCAGGGAGGAGGGCCCGGTCTCTTTGCTATTAGGCGGGGCGCCACCCGGGGCCGAATTCACCGGGTCGGCGCTCTGGCCGAGGCGTCGCTAGTTCAAGGCGACGGCGCTAGGGGCGGGGTCTCTTCGGGCCCAGGGGCGGAGCCTCAAGGACTAGCTCCTTGCTGATGGGCCTCTCCGGGCCAGGAGGACTGGACTACCTCGTGCTGAACCACCTCGGCGCCACCCCGGCAGGCTCGCGGTCCAGGAGCGTCCAGGCCACACGCTGGCTCATGCAGGTGCTCCGCCCCTCCGCGGCCAGCGCCCCGTCCCTCCAATCCCCAGACTCCACCCCCTCCTAAATCCCCACCGCAGGCCCTGCCCCCCGCCCGAGGCCCCGCCCACGCCTCGAAGCCCCGCCCCTTCCGGGCTCGAGTTTCTCCGCGGCTCGGTGACTCGCCGTCGCCACCTCCAGGTGAACTTTTTGAGTTACGTGCAGCTGACTTCGTTGGCGCTGCCCAGCCTGACGGACAGCCAAGGCTCTCTGGTGGTCGTGTCCTCGCTGCTCGGTGCGTGCACGCGGGGCGGAGAGTCGGGAGGCCACAGGGCTCGATGCGGCCGAGCCCCAGGGCAGGAAGGCCCCCTGGAGGAGGGGGAGCGGCGGTGGTCACTCAGCTGCTGCCCTCCCGCCCTCCTAGGCCAGGTGCCCACATCCTTCTCCCGCCCGTACTCGGCAGCCAAGTTCGCTCTGGACGGCTTCTTCGGCTCTCTGCGGCGGGAGCTAGACGTGCAGGACGTGAACGTGGCCATCACCATGTGTGTCCTGGGCCTCTGGGATCGCGCCTCCCCCGCCGAGGGAGTCAGGTGAGGCCCGGGGCCATCAGGGGCAGGGGCAGTGAGGGGCCGCCCAGCCGCAGTTTCCACCGCACCCTCCTGTCCCCAGGGGCGTCACGAGGGCCAAGGCGGCCCCAGGGCCCAAGGCGGCCCTGGCCGTGATCCGCGGCGGCGCCACACGCGCCCCCGGCGTCTTCTACCCATGGCGCTTCCGCCTGCTCTGTCTGCTCCGGGGATGGCTGCCGCACCCGAGGGCCTGGTTCATCCGCCAGGAGCTCAACGTCACCGCTGCCGCTGCTGCCTGAGCTGCTGCGGGTGGCACCCCTTCAGCTTCCCAGAGAGGGGAACCCTCTATCCAGCCGTCCCGGAGCCGGGACACGAACCGAGACACCTCGGAGACGGTGGCCGTGGCTCAAGACAGAGTCATCAAGACAGAAAAGGAAAACCGAGAAATACTACCAGCACCTGGAAACACGGTCACCACTCCCGGTGTGCAAGTGCTGATCGTGTGCCAGGCACCCTGTCAGTGACCTGGAAGGCATGACCTCAGCCTTCCGGGCCACCACTGATGACATGGTTGCTGCTTCCGTTTTGCAGACGAGAAAACTGAGGCTCAGAGAGGTGATGTGACTTTCGCCACGGCCCTGGCCGTGTGAAACAGGGCACACCACCCCTGAGCCACCCTGGGAACCCTGTCCATCTCCCACCTGGATCCTCTGCAGCCCCGATCTCTTCTTTCCACTCAGTTTTGGAGCATTCCCCTACCGTTGCCCCAACCAAGGGACAACCTTGAAACTGTCCACCTGCTGATGGGTTCTGAGGTGGGGGAGGAGGGAAAGACGGTGTTCTGGGCTGGACCCAGCCTCCTGTTTCATTATAAAAATCCTTCTACCCTTGCACATGTGTGTTCAAATTGCTTGGTCCTTCCAGTTTGCAGGTGGCAGGTGGGTCAAGAGGAGTTTGTGTATGGGGACCAGACTTGTCAACCCTATTTTAGAGGGGAGAAATGGAGGCCGAGCGAGAGGCAGCCCTTGCCTAGCAAGTCACGGGTGAAAGGAAGAGTACTGACTGGCACAGAGGTTTTATTTGCAGCATGCAGTACAGGGGTTGCGCAGCAATAATGATAATGTGTATCAGGCACTAAGCCCTTGGCATTGCTGATCTCATGGCATCATCACAATCTGAAGCTGGTGTTGCCACTGTACCCATTTCATAGGTAAGGGAAGGTGCTTAGAGAGAGGCTGGACGTCGGTGGCAGGAGCTGGGATTCTCTACCTGCACATCACTGATATTTATATCAGTTAGTGAAAACGTGACGCCTCCTCTCCCTAAAATGATAAATTAGTGCACTTGCATAAGGAAAAAGCAACTATACAAATACAAACTACAGAACAAATACAATGTTACAATAGCTGTTGGCTATGCAGGGCTCTAGAATGAGCAAGGGTTACAAGGGTTAACCCCAAACAGATCAGCCCCAAACTGGGACCATCATTTGGGGATAAGTAGAAGTGAAAGATAAAAAAAACCAGAAATTTTGTTTTGTTTTGTTTTGTTTAGTTTCAACCCTGCCTGCTGTCCCCGAACCAGCTAAAATTACATCAAATTATATCAAGTGCCATCAGGGGGCACTATACCACATCTTCAGTTCTAAGAATTTAGGATCATATAGATTGAAACCAAAATCTGTTTATGGAAGTTTTATTTTGTGCCAAGTACCATTGTATCTTAAACAGTTTGGAATAGGTACTATTACTGTCCTTTTACAAATGAAGAAATTCAGGTGCCGGGTGGTAAAGTTCCTGGCGCAGGGTCAGCAAGCCAGTGGCCAAGGTGGGATTTCAGCCAGGAGCCTGCAAAAGTAGGATTCGGACTCTCAACCCACCGGCGAAGGGAGTCACCGCACCCACGGCCGAAGAAGCTAGTGCTGGTCTGCTAGTGGAAGCGCGCATGCGCAGGGAGATGGTTCGCGCATGCTCATGGAGACCGCAGGGCCTCCAGCCGCCAGGGGGAGTGCGCGGCGTTCCTGCCTCTCTGGCTCGCTCGACCCGCGGAAGCTAGATATCCCAGAGTTCCCCGGGCCTACAGCCCTTCCGCCGCGGGAGCCATTGAGGAGCAGCAGGTTAGTCCGGGGCTCGGTGTGTGGGATCTGTTGCCATCCGGCCTCCGGGGCCCCGCGGCGGCTCAGGGCTGCGCCTGAGTGCGGCGAGCGAGCCCCGGGGAGCCGGGACGCGGGGTTCCGGGCGGCGGGGACCGAGCCCGCACTCATCTCTTCCCCTCCCCATCCGCGTCTGCAGCCATGGCTCTGCGCTACCCTATGGCCGTGGGCCTCAACAAGGGCCACAAGGTAACCAAGAACGTGAGCAAGCCGAGGCACAGCCGCCGCCGCGGGGTGAGTGCGGGTGCGCGCGTCGGGGGGAGCCTCTTGGGGGGAGGCGGGTAGGGCCCCGGCGACAGTGGTGGGGCGCAGGCGGGGACTCGTGGGCGGCGTGGGGGGGTGAGACTCGCCCGAGCAGCGAGTGGAGACCCGTGCGAATCGCCTGCGTGAGGAGCGCCCACCTGGGCCGCACACCTGGATGCGCCCCGCGCGGGTGTTTGCCGGGCGCACGGGGCCTGGGTCGAGGGGTCGAGGCTGGAATGTGGAAGGAAAGCGGAGGCCCTGTTAGGCTTGTGATCTCCGCTGCACCGGGTTTAAGGGCTCCGTCGTTAAGCTGCGACTCCATGGTGCCCAGCTGCGCCCCCTGGGAGAGGTTTCCGGGCGCAGGCAACAGCCTAGGTCAAGGCCGGGCGGGAGGGCCCTGTCGAGAAGGCTGGGACTCGGGGGTGCGGGTGAGGAGGAGTCACGCTACGGTCGTGGGGCGCGGCGCCCCCGGGGGGGGGGGCGCCCGGCGCCTCGGGCGGGCCGTCCCCCCCCCCCCCCCCCAACCCCCAGCGCCTCACCAAACACACCAAGTTCGTGCGGGACATGATCCGAGAGGTGTGTGGCTTTGCCCCCTACGAGCGGCGAGCCATGGAGCTGCTCAAAGTCTCCAAGGACAAGCGCGCGCTCAAGTTCATCAAGAAAAGGGTAGGTGGATGGGGCGCCTGGGGGGGCTCAGTCGGTTAAGCGGGGGCTTCGGGTCGTGATCTCGCGGTTAGGGGGTGCAAGCTCCGCGACACCTCCGGCTCTGCGCTGACAGCTGGGAGCCTGTGTCAGATTGGAGGGATCTCGCTCGCTCTCTTCCTCTCGAGCCCCTCTCTGCCCCTCCCCTGCTTGCGTGCTCCCAAGAATAAACGTGGAAAAAGAAGGTGGTTGGGGTGCCTGGGTGGCTCATTCAGTTAAGGGTTGACTCTTGGTTTTGGCTCAGGCCGTGATGTCCAGGCTCCACGGGTTCGAGCCCCACATGGAGCTCTGCACCGGGAGTAGGGAACCTGCCTGGGATTCTCTCTCTTCCCTCTCCCACTCGCACTGTCCTGTCTCAAAATAAGTAAATGTCACGGTCGCCTCGGGGACTCAGTCTGTTAAAACCTCCAGCTTTGGCTCAGGTCATGACCTCCCCACGTGCTGACAGCTCGCAGCAGCCTGGTTGGGAGCAGTGGCCTGGCTGGGATCGTGTCTGCCTCTCTGCCCCTTACCTGCTTGCACTGTGTCTAAATATTTAAAATGTTTCAAATCTGAGAACCCAGTTTTCCCCTAATGATAGCTTTGAAAAAAAGGTGGGGGGGGGGGGGCCAAGGTGGACTGTCGGCAGGGCCGGGGCTTGGGGCCCAGACCGACCGCTCCAGTCTCTTTTCTCGGCAGGTGGGGACACACATCCGCGCCAAGAGGAAGAGAGAGGAGCTGAGCAACGTCCTGGCGGCCATGCGGAAAGCGGCAGCCAAGAAGGACTGAGCCCCTCCCCTCTGTACGTAATAAAGCCTTTTTGGAACTTGGGGGTCTTGTATTGGTCTGGGGGAAGGGGCGCGGTGGTGACGTGGCGCACAGACACAAGCAGCCGGCCGGTACCAGAAAGGGTTTTAATCATAATTAAATAGTCCATATATGCCAGACTGTGATTAAGCCATAATTGAGGTCCTTGGTTCCAGCCGCTCCCGAGCCTCCTGGGGGCTCAGCTGCCCAGAGTCCCCGGCCCTGGCACATTTTCGGCCTGGACGGGGCCCGTGAGTGCCAGCAGCGCCCGGGCTGCGGTCACCGCTCCACCGCCACGGCCTCCGCCTGCTCCTCGGGGAAGGCGATGTTGAAGATCTCCCGGTAGTGTTCCACGAAGTGGACCTCCAGGCCCTCGGTGATGAAGGCGGCCAGGTCATAGAAGTCCTTCTTGTTCTCAGCTGGCAGGACGATGCAGGTCACTCCAGCTCGCTTTGCCTGGGAAGGAGGGGACCGCCAGTCGGCCAGGCTGCACTGTATGAGCTAGCTTACAGATCAGGAAACTAAAGCCCAAACCCCATCACTGGCCTCCGTTCCAGGAACCTGCTCTTCCAGAGCCCACTCTTCTGGATTAATTCACAGTCACCATTGCTTTACCTTTAGCGGCTTGGCACAGGAGCCTTACAGAAACACGCATTTAAGCACTTCTAGGCTTAGTGCACATCCCGGCCTGCTCCCTTGTCCTTTCCTGGGCCCTGGCTCACTGGGAGGGCCCCTCAGCCTGGTGAGGCTCCATCCAGGAACACGGTGTACCTTCCACTCACAAGTGAGGAAAGGCCTGGAGAGCCTCCGCAAAGCCCCCTGCCGGAGATGGCTGTCTGTCCCCATCTGTGGACACCCTGCCTTCTAGGCAGGTGGGGGGTAGGGTCAAGGTGGGGAAGGAAGGGGTCCCTGCAGAGAAGTGGGAGTCCCGACACAGGAAGCCCCGGACCGAGGCTCTGGTCGGAGCAGACCCCTCCACCCCCCAGAGGCCCGTGTCCCCTGCCTTCTGTGCATCTGGGCCCTTAGGCCGGAGGGTAGCAGATCCTACCTGCAATGCAACGGGGGGGGGGGGGGGGGCACGCCAGGATGTGCCACCAAAGGGGGGCGGCCAAGACTCGGGTCAGCAGGGCCCAGGCCTCACCCTCATGGTCTGTAAACTGCGCTGTCACCCTTCCCCGCCCGAGGCTCGCTCTGTGTGTGTGATGCCACAGCGTGCGGCCCCTGATCCGGACTCCCCCGAAGGTGCCAGCCCTGCCCGGGGGGGGGGACGCTCACTGCGATGGTCTTCTCCTTGATGCCGCCCACTGGCAGTATCTTGCCCCTGAGGGAGACCTCGCCCGTCATGGCCAGGTTTGGTCTAACTGGCCGGTCCGTCGCGAGGGAGAGCAGCGCCGTGACGATGGTGCAGCCGGCACTTGGGCCGTCCTTGGGGGTGGCGCCCTGGTGGGGAGATGCGGGCAGGGGGTGGGAAGGCGGGACAAGGCGGGGGCACAGGCAGCGGGGCTGCCCCCGGGGGCGGGAGGTGGAGCCTCACCTCGGGCACGTGCAGGTGGATGTGGGAGGTCACCAGGTAGTCGTTGGCCGGGTCGTGCTGCATCAGGAAGGCCCTGGCGAAGGTGTAGGCGATGCGAGCACTCTCCTTCATCACGTCCCCCAGCTGGCCTGTCACCTCCAGGCTCCCGTCCTTGTCCCCCTTGCCGTCCTTGTCTCGTGGCCGCCGAGGGGATGTCTCCACAAACAGCGTAGAGCCTCCTGGGAGACCAGCAGGCAGAGCCTGTGAACTCTGGGACCCTCGGGTTCTAGGGACCGTGGCTCCCCCGACCCTACCGGTGGGGCCACCTAGCGGATGCCCCTTCATTAACACTGTCCCTTCGCTAGCTCTCCGCAGCCTAGGGCCTGCTCAAGGCCTGCTCATCCGATGCAGCACCTGCATCGGCCCCACGGCCTAAGGGCCGACGGACGCCCGCCCGCTTGCCCGCTTGGCCGGTGCGGCTGCTTAACTGAGGTCCAAACAAGCAGACTGATTCACGGTTCAGAGCCTGCCTCTCGCACACCCCAGCCTCCGTGTTGGGCCAGGCAAGGTCACCGGGACCCCATCTCCAGGGCTCCCCAAGCAAGAGGAGGGGGCCTCCCGTCAATGTGAATAAAGCCTGTGTGAGGATATTGCCACCTGGCGGCCGCATCTTTTTCCTTCTCAATCAGCCCCTGATCCCTTGGGACTCCCTTCAGTGCCAGTGTATCTTGGGGGGACGCCAGCTGACCGCACAGGAACCGGTGTGAGACGTTCTCCAGGACCCCCCCCCCCACCCCACCGTCCCGGGCTGCTCACCCATGGCAGTCCAGGCCAGCCCCATGACCACGCCGGGGGGCGTCACGTCATACATGCGCTCCACGGTGAACACGGGCTTCCCCACAAAGTCCTGCAGGTTCTCGGGCGTCACCTCCACGAGCTCGGCCTCGCCACTCACAATCTTGTAGGCAGACTTCCGTAACACCTGGGTGGGGGGGGGAAGGCAGCAGGGTTGGTGCGGCCCCCACCCCGCTGGTCTTTAATCTTTAACATCATGGTAAAGTACAGAAAATGAACCTTTCAGCCATTTTTAAGTTTACAGCTCCGTGGCAATAAGGGTCGTGCAACCATCTCCAAACTTTCCATCTCCCCAAACGGAGACTGTCCCCGTGAAACGGTGACTCCCCTCCCCCTGCCTCACCCCACCCTTGGAGCCCACTATCTACTGTCTCTGTGGACGGGACTCCTCTAGGCACCCCGGTGAGTGGGGTCACGCAGGACGTGTCTCAGGGTTGGCATCCAGTCCTCACGATTCTCCACCTGCCTGGCCAGGCCGCAGAGCGCTCCACCCCCCACCCCCACCCCCGGCCCGCCCGGCTCACCTTCTCCACCTGCTTCTGCAAGTTGCGCACGCCGCTCTCCCGGCAATACTGCTTGATGAGGAGGGTCAGCACCTCTGGGGACAGCTTGGCCTTGCTCTCATCCAGGCCACACAGGGCGCGGGCCTGAGGCACCAGGTAGCGCTGGCAGGGAGGGGGATGCTGTCGTCAAGACCCCCAGGGCCTCAGGGCCTCTCCTGTGGGCCCCGCTTACCCCTGAGCCTTCCCAAGACCCCAGGCTGCCTAAAGATAACAGAGGTGGGCCCAGCGCCTGCCTGCACGGAGCTCTCGGCCCCCAGTGGGTGGCTGGGGGACAGCTGCCCTGGGAGGCGACCTCAAAGCTGAGACCTGAGGGTAAGGAGCCAGCGAGGCTAGGAGGGAGGGAGGCGGGAAGTCTAGACGGAGAGCACGGCAGGCGCCAGGACCCCACACGTGAGCCCGCAGCTGCCCAGCCCACCGCCTCCGGAAGCTCCCGGGTCTCTGCCCAGATCCCAGCCCTGCCCTTCCTCCAGATGTCATCTGAGATGCCACTTCCCCAGGAAGGTTTCCCTGATCCCTGGGCTCAGCCCACTTACACACTGAGGACCTGTGAGTCAGGGCAAGCGGCTGCCACCCCGAGCACAGACAGAAGTGGGGAGGTCGAGGGGCTCCCATGTCACCCACAGCCCAGCCCAACTCCCTCCACACAGCGGTCATGGGACAGTCCTGAGCGCCAACTGGAGGAACAGGAGGGGAGACACGGGGACACAACCACACACGTCAGTACATCTGCTGACATGGGTTGACCAGAAGCCTCTGGGAGTCCGTGTTCCTCTTGTCATTTTAAAGGTTCAAAAGCAGTCCCGGCCCAGGCCCCCAGGCTGCCCCTCCTTGGCCGGGCGGAGACCCCAGTGCCCCTGTAACCACCTCAGCCAAGAGCTCCTCTTGCCCACCTCCTACCCCAGGGGAGAGGAGACCACGGTCAGCCCCTGACGGCTGTGATGGACTCAGGGAGAAACGTGCTCAACCCCTTTCCACAAAGACGATGCAGTCAGAAACTGAGACTCCCGTCCGGAAGAAAACCTGGCTCTCTGCTCTGCTCAACATCCTCCAAGGGTGTGAATCCAGTCTCCAGCCTCGGAAGACTGCTAACGTCTAAGAAGCGCACGGAGCCCCGGATCCTGGGCTCGCCTGGGCCTAGGAAACGCGTTACGCACGCACAGAACTTGACCCAGCCGGCAGGAAGACGGCAGCTACGCACCCGCACCCACACCCACACCCACGGCTGCAAGCGTGCAGGCACAGAAGCTGGCTTCCGAGGGGCCCAGAGCCCGCACTGGGGACAGATGCGCTGCGGGACGAGGCAGCAGCACGCTCACGGGGCAGTCTGCTAACAGAGCTGAGCACACAGCCCCAGACGGTGCACGGGTCCCCCGCGCCCTGAAAGCCCCAGAGACCGTGTTCTCCCCAAAGCTGTGCTCACGGGCTGTCTTTCTCTTATTCCTGTTCTGGGGCCCGAGACAGTGGGGTATGAGGAGAAATCTGGGGGCGCCCGGGTGGCTCAGCCGGTGAAGCGTCCGACTCCTGGTTTCGGCTCAGGTCACAATCGGGCGGTTTATGAGTTCAAGCCCCACGTCGGGCTCTGCGCTGCCAGTGTGGAGCCTGCTTGGGAGTCTCTCTCCCTCTCTGCCCCTCCTCCCCCTGCTCACACTTGTGTGTCTCTCAAAATAAACAGACCTTAAAAAATTTTTAAAAGAAGAAGTCTGTCCTTGGTCTTGGACCCCAGGTCCTGATATAAGAGCTTCCCAGACCCTGTTGTTTTCTGAGTGACAGGGTGAGAAGGACAGCTGTTGGCATCTATCAGCCCCTTCCTGCCACACCCGAGCTCGTGCCAGTGAGGTGGCCCCTGCTGAGGGCCAGAGGACCCAACCATGGGGGTAGAGGGACGGGACTTTCAGCCTCACCCCTGACCCCCAGGGAGAGGGGACGGGCTGCGAGTAGAGTCCATCACCAGTGACTAATGATTCACTTGATGCACCTAAAACAGCCTCCGTAAATACTCTAGACAAGGGAGCCGGGTGAATTCGGACTCACTGGGTGGCGTGGGAGGGTGGCGCACCCAGGGAGGGCACAGAAGCCCCTGCCCCCTACTTGG